CCCCCCCCCCCCCCTCTACTGTCACCTAATCACAACTGATCCAACTAATCGTTACACGCCTCCTTTTGATGTCGTGTATGGTTCTCCTTGGATGGGTTTCGATTTGGCGGCGCGTGCGGGCGCGTTCGCTTTGGCGATTCTGCTTCTGGCTGACTCCAGGGGTTCACTCGGTTCGTGGAGATCGGGCGCGTGGTCCTTGTCAACTACGGCCCGGATGAGGGCAAGCTGGCGGTGATCCTCGACGTCGCCGACAACAACAAGGTCAGTCTAATTTTAGGTAATCTGTCTTGTTATGTAATTGTAGGTCATCTGTCTTCGTTGCTAGTTTTTTTGTATTATTTTTCTTGTCTAATTTGAAGTTATTTGTATTCTTGTGCAAGAGAGTCGCCGTCAACCCCTCCCCCGCCCCCGTACATTTCCGTCGTCCTTGATGTGGTGGCCGACTAAATACTACAACAGCTTCAATTTTTGAACGAGCATCCTCTCCTTTTTGCCATCATCCTCGATGTGGCCGACATGACCGTGGCCAATTTCACGTATACGTAAGCAAGCTTTCAATTGCGTTTATTATTGGTGCCGTCGAGACTAGGGAATATTGGTAAAGACTTAAGCCTGGCTAACGTTGGGCAAACACTCGTTTGCTCACATAGTGCCGCCATTGCAATCTCGCAACAATAGACGTGCGTGCGAGGGTCGTATGGGGATGGGAGGGTAGTTGCTGTCCTTGGCTCTGCAGCCACTATTTCTAGCCCACGAAATAATACGGCTGGATTGAGATCTTCATCCTCCATCGTCTCCGCCCCCTCCCCTCCTTATGAGAACATGCCCTTCAACCCCCCACGGCGTTGGGCCAGTCTCCTAGTAGAACAGCGTTTACTTGGAGTATGGTACAAACCAACCCGTTCAGTTCAATGGCACGAAGGAAACATTCGACGGAGCATCGAGCAACCTCGCCAGAGATATGCATCCAACGGAGGTAGGAAGCCTTTCCGCGTTGGGCTTCTCGAGTCCCCCCCCCTCTCTCTCTCTCTCTCTCTCTCTCTCTCTCTCTCTCTCTCTCTCTCTCTCTCTCGCTCTCTTCTCGCTCTCTCCCTCTCATTTTTGAGTGCCATCCCATTTTTAACCCGTGGCTCGTAGCTAGTACAGCACCTGGTGTTTGGCATACGCGCGTGGGTCATCGTTTGCGTCGATTCCGATGTTTTTTTGCCCCCCCGCGAGCGATCGGAAAGATAAGGGTTGCGTCTTGTGTGCCCAAATCGGTAGCGCAGGCAATTTAAGAAGGTTTCCACCAGTGGGGCAGTTGTTACCAGAGGGAGCCATCGGACGCGCAACAATGACTCGTTCATGCCGCGTGTCATGGGTTCTTGAAGTCTCGATTCTTTAGGCTTGGAGGGAATGTGTTCGCGACACACGGAATGCACTGTCGTGAGACTACATCGTTTCTACGAGGGAAACGGCTGCTTCCAGGAGGCCTTTTCTCGTCAACGGGTTGATAGCCAATGTCCATGGATACACAAAGCGCCGGCACTTGAGAACATGGCAGTTCAGAAATCGAGCCACCGAAAACTCCAATGCAAGAACTGGAGTATTATTCAATGCATAGGCTTAAATAGACCTGAAATTCGCCCAGTTTCCGGTCGGTTTCCCTCCACTCACTGAAAGGACTTGAGCACATGTCTTTCGAATGTGATATTGCCTCGAATGGGTTCTTGTAGTCTTTATTTGTTTTTATGTACACATATATTTTCTTGAGAAGTTGAGCCCCTTTTGTAAGCCCGGTTAAGAACCGCCACAAGAAAAACTTTACGGTAGAGGTCCCTGTTTTGTGCCCGCATGTGTCCAGAGATTTCACTGGCACTAAACGGGACCAGCGCTTTTCAAAGTCTTGAGCATGATCTGGAATATAACCCGAAAACACCGGCACTATTCCGGGCACCGGCGCTAAACACAGACATCTCCTGTATCAAGGCCAAAAGTGGCGGTCAATAATTCGGGCGCTTTCTGTACTTGTAGCCTGCTTCTCTCGGCGGCGCTGTGCACAAAAATCCGTCATGTGCCGAAAGCGGGTGATGCGTTTACCACCGCGTACGAGAAATTGGACTACGGTACTACTTTTGGGGAGGGATCGAAAAGATACGTGCCCCAATTGAACAGGTTGCCAACACCTCCGTCAAGTCGAGATGAGAACGCAGCGCAGTAGTGTCGGTTTTCCAAAAGATTCCCGAGTCGTGCGTTAACAGCAGGCCTCATGTTGGATGACAAAGATTTATCGGTCGGTCGGTCGCCTCGAGCCCGCTGCCGCTCGCGTGAGAGTCGTTGGCTGAATCCGCACTCTGCCTGTCGACGCCGCCGTCATGTTCGTGTCAGCTCGAACAAGTATCAGCTCGGAGGACCAACCTTTGTTTCGTCTCGTTTTAGACGCGTTCGGCCCGCTAAAACACATGCTCTTGCCCCCTGCGTTCACCACGGGTGTCCCTTCCCTTGTCATGTTTTTTTTTTTGTGCCTTTCCGTACATTTCTGGTTGTTTCGGTTCAGTCTCCTGTCCCGTCTTTTGACCCGTCACCTTTTTTTTCTTTTTGTTTTCTTCTTTTTTTGCAAATGCAGGCTCTCATTGAGGGCCCCGACACCGGGGTCCCCCGGCAACTGATCCCCTTCAAGCGGTTGGCGCTGACCGACTTCAAGCTGCCCATCCTGCGCAACGCCCGCATCGGCACCATCAAGGCCGCAGCCAAGGTGCGCTTTGGACAACATTCACTTTTCTCAGTGGCCGGCTCTTGTGTGCATCATCTACCTGTGCTTGCTCGAACATTTCTATGTGTATGTTGTCTTTTTTCAATTTGTTTTATGTACCTCTTGTGTTTTGTGTTGGTGTCGTGCTTCTGCGGGACGGACACCCGCAACAGGAGGCGGACTTGTACGCCAAGTGGGAAGCATCTTCGTGGGCAAAGAAGAAGGCCAAGAAGGTCAAGCGCGCGCAAATGACTGACTTTGACCGCTTCAAGGTGGGTCAAGTGTTGAGATATACGGCGACATGGACCCTCCTGTGTGTGTTGCTTCTTTGTCGCTGCTGCTGCTGCTGCTGTTGGTCCCCTTTTCACCTCGAAGCCCGGCAGAGCGGTGCAGCCCAGTGTTGCCATGAATGTGGACGCACGTGCATTTTTGGAATTTTTGCCGGAGCAACAATTGTAACGTCGTGTAACAACACCCAGCGCGGGCTTGTCACGAAGTACGTGATTGCCACGCAAACCTCCGTGGTGATGGTTCAAGCGCATGTTTGATGAACAGCTTGCTCCTTGCTTATCTTTGCCTCTACTGCTAGGCACCTTCCCATATAGTTCTCGTTATTGTACGAAATTCTGGTCGGACCTTATAGTCTGTTGTACTTTTTCTGACCTTGGACTTCGATTGGGGCACGCGGATTGGCTACTCTCCTCGTCCTCCCCCAAAGCGTTGATGCCATGTCTATGGGATTGCAGCCAGACGTGCTCTTAGCTGCTGGCCTGTGTGGAGTCTGCCACCTTTACTCTCGAGATGTTAATTGTTTTTGACGGGAGTTTTGTGTAATATCGCGGAGACTTAAAAGGATGTATAGTGAAGTGCATGGCTTGAGCCACTCCTTCCCCTAATATGAGAAGAAGCTGATTTTCCGGTGCTTGTCTAGACCGGTTTACCGCTTGTTCCTCTGGAACCCAAGATAATCCTCAAGGCGTTTTGGTGATGCACATCATCATCATCATCATCCAGAACACCGCCGGGACCAAGAATCGTACCGCGCGAGGTCTCCACCCGCGTCTTGGCTATGCATGGGTGCCTCTTGAAAGCGTTTGTTTTTTTGCCCAGGGGGGGTTGACTGGTTTCGTTGTAGTTGCTGGCAGGTGCATGCTTTCACATCACGTGTGGACATTTTGGTCAGAGGTGGATACACCAGCTCTTTGGTAAATCCCTACTTCTTCCTCTCTCCTCTCCCTCTGGGCATAGCGCCCCCACCCTCCCCCCGGCTTTTCGTCGAAATTCACAACCGCGACCCCCCCTTCTGGTTCATGTTTCTGTTCTTGTTCTATCCTTCCTCTGCAGGTCATGGTCGCTCGCAAGCAGAAGAGCGCGATCATCGCGAAGAAGGTAGCCGAGCTCCAGGCTGCTGCTTGAAGCAAGCAGCGGAGTTTTTGCCGTCGCTGCTGTTTTGCGCGCGGACGGAGGAACCAAGCAAACGTTTGTAGAGAAGAGAAGGCGAGGAGAAGTTCGCGGGCGGGTGGGGCGGGAGGACCTTTTTTTGGGAAAGTCTCAAGCCGTACGTGAAGGTGCAAGAAGCCGAAGCTCTGGCGCCGTTGCCATGCCGCTTCTGCTCGAGTTGAGGTTTCTCGTACCTTCGACGGTGCTTGTGCGGTAGCACGTAGTAGGCAGCTCTCGCGTACGCGATTTGACGCCACTTGCTGCTGTTCGGTGTCGGCATGACCGGTTTCCCTAGGGTGCCGCACAGGTCGTTTCGGTTCGTGTTGACGGCCGATTCGTCTTAGCGCGTTTGCTTTTTTGGTGCTCTTCTCATGGTGTGTGCTGCGCTACTTTCTTCGCCCATTGCCACGGCTACATAAAAAAAGAGTAGAAAACACAAAACAACTGGCGCCCTGCTGGTGTGTTACTGTTTCTCTGTATTGCAACTTTATTGCAAGCAAGAAGGTTTGTGCGCTCCCGGCGGCACGCTGATGTTGAGCGTGCCTTCCCGTTAGTATTCGGCTTGCTGTGGCGACTTTTGCCGCAAAGAAAGACGAAGGGGTAATAAGGGCGCGTTCGTTGGGTTTCGCCCGTTTGCCTCCCTTCCCACCATGCTTCACACGGAGACCTTAGATTCTATGTTTGCTTACCGCCCCGTGGTGTATGGTCTAGTCATGTACGCTTGGTGCCCATATCCACGGACATGTGCTGAAGGTCCTTATATCTACGGGAGTTCAGTTTCTGCTGCGGCACCATGAACACGAGCTGGAAGGCAAATCTGTTACCCCGATACGTACGTGTAATCTGTCTGCGAGGACACTACAATGTGCGGGGCACGTTCGTCGTCGCTGAACAGGGTGTCAGTAAACGAGGCCTATCACGTACAAGACTTTTCCTGACGTCATCATTGGAATATTTTCGATCGGCGGGTGCGACTTTTTTTGGTCCTCATGCTGTGTCTGGTGCTCTGTCGAGGCAACAGCAACACCAAAATTCCTCCCCCTCGTCATTCTCAAGCCCCCTTCGGAGATTGGGTTTCTGCTCCCACGCTATGAGGCAAGATCTCCATCCTCTCCTTCGATAACGACCCCTGTTTTGCTTGGGTACATTCAATTCGCCGTTCGGGATTGGGCTTCCTGTGTTGCTCGAAGGGTTTTCGTGCTGAAGTCGATTGACTTCTGATCGGTCAAAAACCCTTCGCCGAAAATTTGGTTGGAGGGGTGTGATGTCGTATGTCACCTTGTCTGCTCGGTCGGTGAGCGAGCGTGTCGCTGTGTGCGCTCTCGACGCTACAATAGTGGAAAGCTTCCGACAGGCAACGCGACGATACTCATCGAGTTGATATCACAACATTCAACTCGTCGTTCGTGATCTGGCTTACCTTGTGGTTCGGAAAGTTTTCGTGCTCGGCCGCTGACTTCTGTTGGCCGAAAACCCTTAGCCGCCACGTGTGATGCCAGCCACGGTCAAAACTGCCCGCCGTTCTTCTATCGGTCAACAACGGTGCCGCCGAAATTCTGATTGGCCGAAGTCCTCATCTCCTCGAAGGGAAGGCGCGGTCTCTTCGTGAAGGTATTACACACAAAAGCAGTGCAGCATAGAATAAGGGACCCTTCGAGCTTGTAGACCCTGACACAGAGAAGTGCCCTTTGATGTATGTTGCGGCGTGTGCATGCCCCCAAGTGACGCTATCGATCTCAGGTAGTAAGGGTAGGTGTCACACTTCTTACTACAGCATTGCCACAATCACATCCGACATGCAAGCTAGACCCACAGACAACACCTCAGCTTGGTTGCACCCCGGACGAGTGCTGTTTCGTCATCACCGTCTATTCGGGGTCATGGTCGTACGCGAACATTTTTACCTTTAAAAAAACTACCAACATCTTTCACTAGTACTTCAACAGCCGGTGGGTGTCGCTGTCTTTTTATGGCGTTCTTCAGCCCAAACACGCCGTCCCCCAGTTTGCCCCCAACACTTGTTCTGTCATACTCAAGCGCGCAAGACGGCGTGGCATCATTGTTACCCTTAACCAGCGCTGCACACCCAACCCCCTTGCATCATCTACTCTGCATGTCCCAAACAACACCCGGCAATGTCGACTTTCAGCACCAAAAACACAAACAACAGACAGACGTGGTGGGATATTTTGATAATTTATCCTCGTGGGGGACTGACTCGTCGAGAGCAAACAAACGTCCAACGCCACCCCTGCCGCTAGTAAGTAGTACGTTGCTTGCATGAGTGCATGGAAACGCTTTCGGGCAGCCAGCGGGGCATGCACGCCAAACAATACGTTGCGACTACACGCCGCAAATGAATCAGACACCACAGACAGTTCCCAACACCACCACTCCAGGTTGAAGGTCTAGAAAATCGAAAATAGTACGACGTCATGTGCGTATTTAATGCCTTCCACCGGCGCAACCATCACCACTCACATCGTATCAGAGCCGGAGATAGTGGCTGCGTGAAGGAATAGACGATCAAGTCATCACCCAACAGGGTATGGAAAAAAATCCGACTTACACTCAGAGCAACAACTTCACCCCACCCACTCGAACACCTAACCAGGCCAATCAGCACCCCGCCAGCTCAATCACGGGCCACGTGAAAAGTCAAGGAAAGAACGGCAACTCACACCATGCCGTCCACTACTAAGGAATAGCAAGGCGATGAACGCTCTTACGCATACAACAGAGGGTGTGCCACCTGTCAGCAACATAAAGAACGTCGACGCCATCGCGCTCGTTGGGGGATCAATCGACACGGCTGTGAGGACTGTACGGCTAAGGCATAGAGGTCAGATCAATAATGGTACACCGACCCAGTCGAGCCGCTTGCCAACCCCGGTGTAACACCGCCCCGTCAACACCGGCGCGAACGCTCGATCGAGCGAGCATCCAATGCTTCACCTTGCAACTCCCGCGAGATCAACATTGCTCGGTGAGATTAAACAACAACGCCGCCACGCATGCACCCTCGCCGATTCCCCCAACTCTGAAATTTCTTCGAACCCTGAGCTGCATGCTTGGAAGAAAGCCATTGTTGCTCTGAAGTACACTACAACATGATGCATGCCCAAGCCAGACACTACGCTGTCCCCGTCTCACACACATACTTGAGCAAACAAGCAGATGTAGACCAAGCGCCATCGCGTACGAAAAACATGACATGCATAGAATTTACATCACAAACACATGCACACCGCCGCTTCACGGGAAAAAAAAGCCCACTACACTATTACGCATCCATCGTTCCCTCAGATTCTGCACTCTTGTCACTCACGGATGATAAAAGGCACGTGCCCCCGCATACCACAGCAGCCTCCAGCGGCCATGGGGGGCGACGTAGAAACGCCTTCTTCAAGCTCTACCCCCCATCGGCCCGTTGATCAGGACACCCTCATGAGAACCAGCTCCACTTCGTTTCCCCCCGTCTGTTGCACGTCGGGGATGCTTGTCGCGCATCAACTTGCTGAACATAACGCACACACTTGATCGCCCCTCCTCGCCGATGCCCTCATACAGGTTTAGCAAGCCGCACAAATCTCTTGGGAGCCGTGGGATATTGCCAACCAAACACATGATTTTGGAGAAACAAAAATCGGTCCATCACCACCGAGTGGTTATTGGGCGAGCTCGTGTGTCACGCACATCCTCGCCATGCCCTGGTTTCTTCCCCGCTTCGTCTACCGCACACGTACCCCAAACGTACATCAAAAAGCAACAAAAACGGAAACAGAGTCGAAGTTCAACGCATCCCTCGTGGGCTCTCTCGCCCTCACAAAGATACATGCGCACACACGTGCTTGCCCCTTGCTGAGGCGGGCACCTGACATATTGATTGATGATTGGCCAAGCGATTGGGACGACCACTGCAACGGAGGACCTTTGACGAACACAACACACTCCACAGCCCACCCACCTCGACAGCGGTCGTGCAAATAAATGAATAGACACTACCGGATGAGTGCCTTTACAGTATCGGTTAGTGCGGTCGTGCGGTCGATAGTATCAAAAGAAACACACACAATCATTCGTACCTTGCCCGCAAGTAAAGACTGCTCTTTTCGATAGGTCGGTCGTTAGGAGCGTCCATGAACAAATCACCCCGAACGCAGACGAAAACAGGCCTGCGTACCCCCACATACACACCATGCAATCAGGGCAGGCTGTTTCTCAAGTCTTGGGGTTTAGACTCCAGTTGGTCGTCCTAAATAGAGCAAAGCAGGCTTGAAAGATAGCAACCACCCCGTCTAGCGAACCAGACATACATGTACTTTATTTTGTTGGAATATCCGGGAACAATCACGGGCACAAGCAGAAACTGACGCATTTTCAGTGGCAAGCCGGTTAGCGCGGTCGATGCTAACAATAAAAAAACATACACAGAAGTACCCTGGCCAAAGTAAAAAACACGAGACACAAAAACAAGCAAGCACGCGAAAGTTGCTGCAAGAAAAACCAACGTCTTTCAAACCAAAAATTGATGAAGCTGACTAAAGTTTTTCCTAAAAAAATTCTTGCAAGGAGAAAACACCCAAGCGTCCCTCTACAAGAACACCCCTGATTGTGCTCCAAAGGTTCATTCAAAATCAACATCCAACCCAAACTGGGACAAATCCGTGCAGCGTAATCGGAGCGCAACTTCACCAAAAACACGCGAGAAAAAAAAAACACAGATTGCCGCATTTAAAACCACGGGCGAGGACAGCTGCTTGAGGCCTTTGTGCGAAGGCGATTTGTTTCTTACACCAACCAGAAACACTGGTTGGGTGTACTTCGAAGGGTCAACACGGGAATAACCAACGCAATTTACTGGAACAAAACGCAAAAGGACCCCAACCACCCGGGAGCGTGGGGCACTGGTGTCGGGTGGTCGAGCAAAAGGCAAACCCCAGTCTTACAATTGGCCCAGCGTCTGCGGCTGAATTCTGATTGGCCACTTGGGTCGAACACAGCAAACACTTCAAAGGAACCCATCAAGTGATGGTGTGGAGGATTCAAGAACAACCACAAAGCAACGAAAATCTCAAAACCTGTAGGCATGGTCTCCTTTTACAACTTCACGCTGAGCTTCGCCAAAAAAAAACGCGGAGCTACATAGGCCTGCCCGCCAACCTCACCCCATTTCCCTTAAGGAAGGCCGACCACCCTCAGCGTGACACCGTAATGCTCAACAGCAGCCTTATCCTGTGATCGCCGTTTTTACAGACACCAAGGTACTTTTATGACGTAGACGAAGTAAAGTCGAGCAGAAGACAACGGCCCGGCTTCAACAATGGAAGACAACGAAGCACTGCAAATAGCTGCGGTGTCCGATTCCAATCCAGACTACGGCGTACTCTCGATTGGATCGGGCTCTACCGCCAATTCGATGCAATCACTCCAACCCGGTCCTGCTTTTCATGGAGGTGACAAAAAAAACAAAATTATGGTCTTCCGTGTCGTCTTCGGCAACGCGTTTGCTATGGTATGGAGAATAGCTCTACACTGAACGTTGAAGGAGGGTCGGCTTGTACTCATTAGTCGCTGAGCAATCCCAAGGGTAAAAGAACAGGATCATTGAAAACCCAATTTTCACACGGTTTTAAGCACACTTCTGGACACCAGGACAGGGGGGCGTCTTGTTCCCCGGAGACCGGACCATTCCCACCACAGCCGTCTCCGCCGTCACCGATTCCATCACCGCTGCCGGCGTCGCTATTCCTGTCGCCGATTTCTCCGCTTTGCTCGCGGGAGTTTTCTCGAACTCCTCCTCCTCCTCCTCTTCCTCCTCCTCCTCCTTCTCCTCCTCGTCGGCTACCCCTCCGGCTCGCTCCTTCCGCCCCTCGCCGGCGCCCCAGAACGAGGACAGCTCCGGCGACTGCGAGGAGGTGGAGGGGGGGGAAGGGGAGGAGGTGTAAGGGGTGGGTGGGGAGCAGCGGCGGGGGCGTCGCCTCTCGCCGGATCCAGGCACAGAGCTTCCCGGTGGAGAGGGACGAGGAAGTGTCCCCGTCCAGGCTAAAGGGCGGAGTGAGGTCGACGCAATTTGAGCATCGTGTTGGGACGCTACTCTCTGTCTCTCTGTCTCTGTCTCTGTCTCTCCCTCTCCCTCGCTCCCCCTCCCTCCCTTTTCAACACACCGACGTCGAGCCCTGTCGTTTGCGCTTGTTAACCACGCCTCCTCGAGCGCCATCGTTCCGCGTACCCCCCCCGGACGATCCATTGCCGCCCCTCCTCCTGCTCACGAACGCGGGTGGACGGTGAGCGCCTCCTGACCCAGGCCTCCGCAAGATGTTCACCATGGGGGCCACATGGGTGCTGTGTTGCAAGAGGAATCGGGGGGGGGCGTACTCTTACGTTTTGCATGCCCTCGCGGTAAGACCATTGGCNGGGGGGGGGGGGGGGGGGGGGGGGGGGGGGGGGGGGGGGGGGGGGGGGGGGGGGGGGGGGGGGGGGGGGCGTCCTAGTGTTTTTGGCCTGCCTTTGCTACTATAGTAGACCAGTGGCCACGAGAAGACGGAGATGATTGTTCCCACAGCACTGATCGGTTTCACCTATGGCTGTTCCTACTTTGTCACAAACAAAAATCCCTACCCTCATCTATCCCATATCGATATCACTTCCCGCCCTTAGCGGCGGGTGGTAAAAAACAACAAAACAGCGTCTTGTTATATCTCGAACGGGTAGTCTTTCTGAGGTTATATTTACTTTCTAAAAATGATTCGGACCACAAAAAGGACGACCGGGGTGTTATAGGTACATGGCGGAACAGCCCAGCCGCGAACGAGGAAACGGTTAAACTCGATACGCTGCCGTGTCCACTTACTCGTAGTACTTCTCCGCGCGTCTAGCCAGGAGCACGGCACAGCGAGAGATCGCGGCGCGTTCCTGGCGAAAACCATGAGGGAAGGGGGTAGTAGAGGGGAGGAGGCGGGACTGTCAGAGGCGATCGTACCCTGTACTTGTTCAAGTGGGCGTCCGACGAGAAGCTGTCCGTCCAGGATATGCTTTTGCGGGGGCGGTTTGTGAATGACGAGTGCATGCGCGCCGCTGGGGTACTATAGACGAGAAGTTCCTCCGTCGAGGCCGTGTGGCCTTCCAAGGACCAACCAAAAGCATAAAGACAGAACAACTCCAACACAACCACAAGAAAGAACGGGGTATTGCGGCATCCCCGCGAGAAAGAGACAATGAGCTGGGAAAAATAGATGGGACATACAGGGAGATGTTTGAGGCATGGAATAGAGAGGAAAGGACGGTAGCTGTAGTGGGGCATAGGAGGTGGGTTGAAAAGGCGGGAAGGGATATCGTTAGGATAGACTAGGGAAGACATTTCTGAGCCACCTTCCGCAAAGTAGAAAGGAATGATTGACCATCGGTGGTCGGTCCTGTGGGAACAATGCTCCGTCCTCTCGAGGACGCGTGGTCAATGGTCTAACTGCTAAGGCATGCAAAACACATTAATCCGCCCCCCCTCCCCCTCCCCCCCCCGCGAAAAGAGACAATGAGACACACTATCACAACCATTACGGCACCCAAGAGGACAACAAGGTGTTGAACAAAAACAAATCGGCTCAGCCACCCCTACAGCAGTACATGGGTACAACAACACCACCCCCGTGAAGAAAGGGCAAGAAAGGGAAGAAAGGGGTCGAGCAACGACACTTGGCGCAAACAGCGAACAGTAGCACTAGGCCCGCCGACTTGTCGCGAACACGGGTGACTTGTCACCGTCCAACAACAACGCCCTTTACGCAAGACCAGCACTACTGTGGCAACCTCCAACGCGTTTGCTCCTCCACCTCGGGGAAAATATGCGTCATGAAAGAGCGTACACTGTGGTCGTGCCAGTAAGAGGTGCAGGTCCATGTTTGGACGCATGAAAGCAATGCTGCGTCCATGCATTCACATCTAAAGTCTGCCAGAACAGGAAGAACCCTACCGGGAGAGGAGACGACTTTTTCTTTGAACAATTACAGGTGTCACACAATATAACACCAGCTCTATCTACAGAGAAGGGTCTCCAGGACAAGTTGGGAAATAACTCATAGCGTTAGCGGAGAACCACCCGCGTGCCTACGATTCCCCGACAACGATGTCTCCCCTGCGGGAAACAAGTCTCTTGTCGTCCCTCGCTCACCCCGTTATACTTGATGCAGTTGTGCCGCACCCAGTCGACGTCCTCCATGAAGGAGTTCAGGCCGGCGCGACGAGAGTCGTACTCTCCCGCCCGTAGCCGCTCCCTCATGCGCGTGAAATTCATGGGTTTCTTCACCGTCTGCAAGTGATGAAACGGGGGCAGATAAGATACAGACCGAGGGGAAGTGAATCGAAACGGAGATCAGGGCACGCTGCTCGAAGAACAGCACGTCCCAGGGTGCAGGTTCGCGCCTCTTCCTATCCACGGAAACTATAACAACAACACCACCAGCATCAGCATCAGCATCACCATCACCATCACAATCGCCATCACCATCACCAACGGCAGCAGCAGCAGCAGCAGCAGCAGCAGCAGCAACAACAACAACAACGACAACAACAGCAACAGCAAGCTCTGACCTCTCTGTAGTCCGGATACTCCGCAGGGTCCACCTCATCCACGAAGAAATGGGCCAGCTCATGATTCTGGAGCCAGTGCAGGAACTTGTCCAGCAAGCGCCTCGTATCCCCTTCCGAGATCTCCAGCCCCTCCCCTTCCATCCAAGGCGGCTCCACCCAGGCGGGTACCTGCGTGCGATTGTGAGGCAGGGGGGGGGGGGG